GTGACATACACCAACAATCCTAGAACTTGGGAGATGGAAGCAGCAGGATCAAGAGTTCAGGATGATCCTTGGCCACATAGGAATTCAAAGTCAGATTGGGCTCTGGAAGACCCTATTTCAAAGGAGAAAGAAGAGAATAATAATAAAAAGGAATATTTACTGGTGCCATTGACTGGACTGTGCTTGCAATTAGCCGCTGCCTTGGCTCTTTTTGTTAGGAGGCCTGGGCTAATTATCATTAGAAATCTATTAGACTTGGCGGCAAATGCTTTTTACTCCCTGAGCAATCTTACCGGCATTGACAGACATCTTTTAAAATTGCATTTTTATTAATTTTTTTATTTGTATGTTTGTATGGGACCTACATGTACTATGGCACACGTGGAGGTCAGAACAACTTCTTAGAGTCAGTTTTCCTACTGTATCCTAGGGAGTTGAGCCCTGTTTTTTTGTTTTTGTTTTGTTGTTGTTGTTAGTTTGAGACAGGGTCTTACTATGTAGTCCTGGCGGGCTAAAACAGGCTGGTTTTGTTTTTGTTTTTGTTTTTGCTATGCAGTCTTACATAGTTCAGGCTGACATGACCTATACAGCCAAAGATAACCTTGAACTCAAGCTCTTACCTGCCTTACTTCTTGAGTGTTGGGATCATAGTTATGTGTTACCACACCTGGATGTGTTTTCTTTTTTAATTAATTTTTTGATGTTAAGGGGTATTTTGCATGCATGTACACAATGTCTGTGCAACGCATGAACACAGAGAGCCTTGGAACACCTGGGACTAGAGTTAGAGACGGTTGTGAGCTGCTGTGTGGGCGCTGGGAGTAAACATGAGCATGGGTCTCCTGGGAAAGAAGCCAGTCCTCTTAACCTCCGCGTCTTCTCCTTCCTTCCTTCCTTCCTTCCTTCCTTCCTTCCTTCCTTCCTTCCCTCCTTCCTTCCCTCCCTCCTTCCCTCCCTCCCTCCCTCCCTCCCTCCCTCCCTCCCTCCTTTCCTTCCTTCTTTCCTTTCTTCCTTCTTTCCTTTTTTTTTTTAATTACAGGTAAAGCAGACTCTCTTACTTAACCCTAATCTACCTTATTTAAAATCCAGTTGCAATTTATCTACTCTTTGGAGTACTTCACTTTGGAAGCTATATATTTTAGTGAGTTTGTTTGAATGAAGTAGATCCTGACAGGAGTGAGGCATAGGGAGCCTTGGCAGATCCTATACTAGGAAATGCCCTTCTTTTTTTCCTTTTTCTTCCTCTTCATTCCTTTTCTTTCTTAATAGGATGATTAAGGACTTGCTGTGATTCCATGAGAATCATCTGCGTGTTTTTCATCCTTTGTTTTGTGCTATGTACACGTGTCTCAGGAAGGATATGGTCTGTTTTGCAATTAGACTTTCAGTAAGGATGGCAATGGAGCTAGGCATGGTGGCTTGTGCCTCTAATTTCAGTACTGGAAAGGCAGAGGGAGGAGGATCTGGGTCACCTAGCCAATCTCCTTAGAAAAAAACAAACCAAATCTTAAAAGGGAAGAATGGAGAATGAGCACTCACCGTTTGGTGTACATTATTAAGATGGCAACCAGTAGTTATTGGCCAGGGTAAAGCTATTTGAGAGAACAAAGCTGGTTTGTTAGCATTTCTGCATATGCTCCCAGGCCACTCCAAACAGTTCATATCAGTTCTCTTCCTGAGCTGGTCCAGTGCAGTGCACAGGCAAGGATAATGCTCGGGGAAACAAACCCATCAAGCTAACCTGGCTGTTATTCTTAGGCAGTGAACAGTTGATGTCATTACCGGCCTTCGGCCTGCTGTGCTTTCTCCATAGCTCCATCTCCCACTCTGTGCTGTCTGAGATGCAGGTGATTGAGCAGGAAACCCCACTGAGTGCAAAATCTTCCCGGTCACAGCTTGACTTGTTTGATGATGTTGGAACTTTCGCCTCCGGACCCCCAAAGTAAGGCTATTGCTGGAGCATAGACTTGCCTGTTGTGTTCCTACTCAGGTTTCCCTGAGCTACTCTGCTATCTCCCTAGGTACAAGGATAACCCCTTTTCCCTGGGAGAAACTTTTGGTTCCCGCTGGGATTCAGATGCAACCTGGGGTATGGATAGGGTTGAAGAGAAGGAACCCGAAGTAACCATCTCTAGCATCCGGCCTGTTTCAGAAAGGTAGTGTGGGCAGGGCAGTGCTGTCTGCATAACTGGTGCAGGGGTGGAAATGTTCAGTAGTTGAGTGCAGCTGAGAAACTGAACTTCTACTGTTTTTTAATACAAGTTTAGCAAATGTAAATAACCACATATAGCTAGTGACCATTCTTTAGTCAGGACTGTGCTTATCACAACCAGCCTGGTAGCTTTTTTAGGTTGGGTTCTATTTTATAGTCGGAGGGGCTGATTTTCTGTTTCATTTCTGATGTCCTTTCTAAAGGCTATATGCCTCTAGCCTTCATGTTTTGATCGACTACAGTATTAGGGATCAAACCCATATTTTCCAACAGCTAGGCCCATTTTTTTTTTTATGGTTTATTTAACTTTATTTTATGTGCATTGGTGTGAAGGTGTCAGATCCCCTGGAACTGGATTTTCAGACAGTTGTGAGCTGCAATGTGGGTGCTGGGAATTGAACCCGGGTCCTTGGAAAGAGCAGTCACTGCTCTTAACCACTGAGCCATCTCTCCAGCCTCATATTTTTTTTAATAATTTATTTTTATTTTACGTTCATTGGTGTTTTGCCTCCATGTATGTCTGTGTGAGGATGTCAGAAGCCCTGGAATTGGAGTTACAGACAGGTGTGAGTGACCATGTGGATGCTGGGAATTGAACCTGGGTTCTCTCGAAGAACAGACAGTGCTCTCAACCACTGAACCATCTCTAGGCATTTAAAACCAAACCAAAATACATTCCATTGTTGAGAAGCAGTGTTTTGTTGGCAGGTTACCATAGATGATCCGTTTGTAAACTCTGCCATGAGTAATAACTTGACTGGACTCTAGAAGCCCCACTCAGCGTAGAGCCTGTGGGTTGTCAGTGTAGTGAGGTGGCCATTTCATCCACATCAGCGTGATTCTGAGAGAGTGCTCACAGCCACTAGATAGTCATGGCAGGAGAGTGGGTGTAAGCCAAGCACACACACACAGTCACTTCAGATTGTGAGTAGGGCTTCAATGGCAGCAGTGATGATTCTTCTGCACCTTAGTGAGCCACAGTAGTGCGGAGCCTAAGCCCTCAAAACAGTGTTCCCACTCCATCTGTTGGAGGGATTGAGGCTCTTTGTGCCGTGACTTGGGCAAAGGACCTCTTACTCTTCTTTTGGAGGGGAAAAGTTCTTGCATCCCAGAGTTACAGGATTGACATGGTTACCATGGCCAGAAAATATTTTGGTCTCTGAATTCTGCTTCCTCTGGTGGTAATGGGAAGAGACCGAGATATTCTGCACTGGCCCACAGATCCACAAGCCGGAGGGAAGTGGAGAGCCGGAGCTCAGGGCTCGAGTCCAGTGAAGCGCGTCAGAAGTTCGCAGGAGCCAAAGCCATCTCATCTGACATGTTCTTTGGTCGAGAGGTGGATTCTGAGGTTAGTGAAGTTGTCTACTTGGTAGCTACTCAGCAGCCTTAGCTCCTTCCCTGCCTGTCCTGCATTAGGGTGGTTTGGCATAAATCAGTTCTTTTATCCCTGGCCAAAAGATTCCCTAGACCTTGCCTTTTCTTCACCACAGTATGAAGCCAGGTCTCGGTTACAGCAGCTCTCGGGCAGCAGCGCCATCAGCTCTTCAGACCTTTTTGGGGACATGGATGGAGCTCATGGAGGAGGTAGGACCCCAGTGTGTGGTAGGGCATAGCCGAAGGCCCTGTAGCTGAGAAGGGCTTCTTCCAGGGCTCTTGATCACCCCTTCCCTTGCTTTTACAGGAACTGTATCACTGGGGAACGTACTTCCTACAGCTGACATTGCCCAGTTTAAGCAGGGTGTCAAGTCTGTGGCTGGCAAGATGGCTGTGCTGGCCAATGGTGTGATGAATTCTTTACAGGTGAGGCTGGGCTGCTGAGCCTGGGAAGAGATGTAAAAAGTAATGCTTGGAGGTTTGTCTCTACTCTATCCGGACACTGCTGAGTAGCCCCCCGCAAGCTGTAGAGAGAGCACTTGTTTTTCTTGGCAGGGCAGTTTTCCATCTCTGTATTTGGACTGAGCCTCTCCCTAAGGTGATTTGGCCAAGCTTGTTACTTCTGCTCTTTGTCTTCCCTCCCAGGTTCTGTGAGAACTGGCAGGACTTCCCTTTTCATTAGTACCCAGCTGGCTTTCACCCCTGCTAGCATCGTATACTCTCAACATGGGGTCCCCAGCCCTGTTCTGCTGTGGGGTGTGCTGGGAAGGTATTGTGGTTACTGGGGAGCTGCTGCAGATTAGAGACTCTGACTTTGTGTTTTTATTCTCCCCACTCAGGATCGCTACGGTTCCTACTGATCCAGGCTCCATGGCTCAAGCCTGTGGTGGTGACAGCAAGAACCCTGATTCCTAGGCTAGGGATGCTCGCCTTGTGAATCTGGGCATTTGTTGACTTTCTGTGTGTGGTGTATGAGTTGGGTGGCTTTGGAGGGTCTTGGGCAAGGGGAATGGTCAGCATCAGCCCTTGTCCTTTGCCTGTGCAGTGAGCCCTTGTCCTCGTCCCCCACTCTCTCCTCTCCACGCTAGTGTTCTTCCTTCCGGTCCTGCTCCAAAGCTGCTGCTACTTAGCCTGCTGCACTGGGAGTGAGGGAAGGAGTTCTATCAGGATGACTTTATGGGTCTAGTTCTTCCCCAAGTAGGGAAGGCATAAGGCTTCTGCGGGCTCTAGGATCCTTGGTGGTGGTCTGGGGGGTCTGGGCCTCGTCTTCTAGAGACAGGGGAGGTCTAGCAAGAGTTGTGCTCTATCCGCCCTCAGGGAGAAGTTCTGGACTTGCCACTGCTGTTACGTCAGTGGAGGCATGGGTTAGAAGGACCCTGGTAACTCACTAAGGGCTAGAACTTTTGCTTGGCTCCTAAAGTGTTTATTTAGGATCAGCCTGGAGGCTTAAGCAATCTTCCTTTGTCACCGCTGTCCCTAGGCTGACTTCTGCCTAGGTGTCTGAAAACCTTTATCTACCATTATTGTGGGTCATAGCACCCCTTGCCTATGCTTGAGAGTTTATTCTTTTGTGTCCTGCCTGGCACCCATGGCGGGTCCCATCTGTGTGTCCTATCTGGATGCTGAGAACCTGCTACTAGCTGAGGCTCTGAGAGAAGTCCCTGGAGCTCAGCTTTTGTCTTCTGCATCATTCTGGTTTAGGGGTCCTGAACAGCACCCCACCAGTCAGTGAGAGCTTGAGGACCTGCAGTTACAGGCCCCCCATACTCTGGCAGCTGGGCCATGCACTGTGTCATCCTTGGTGCCATCTCCCCCTGCCATGCTGGCAGTCTGGGCCCAACTTTACCTGTGGATTGCAGGTTGGGCTCCCAAACAACACAGACCACTCTTCCCTCGTCCCTCCCCAAAGGGGGACATGACTTTCTTTCAGCACTGTTTGTATTGAAACAAAGTGGTGTCAAAATAAAGCCCCCACGGGGCACTGTGGGTCAGTGTCCTCTCCATCCTGCCTCCCTGCCCAGTGTGGCCCTTCGCTCACTCTCTGGGCTCCCACCGATATGGATTGGGCGTTGATTCCAAAGCTGAGGGCACTCTCTCCGGGACCTCCAGCTTGTCTCTTCTCTGAAAGCCAAAGGCCCCTGGCTCCTTGCCCCTGTGCTGCGGGGTCCGGTACAGCCTCGACCTCACCACCCTGTTGCACGTGGAGGAAAGAGGTGGTGTTAGTTGGCCCTTAGTTTTTCTACATCCTCAGCGGTTCTGCACTTCATCCCAGGAGGCAAACTGGGACCTGTTTCTCAGTGAAGCTGTTTTGTTTTAGACAGTGTCTCCATAGCCCAGATTGGCCTTGTACTCGCAATCCTCCTGTCTTGGCTCTGGTGCTGGAATGACAGGCATGTACTAAAATGCCTGGCCTGAAGAAGCATTTTTAAGATTCAGACTTTGGAAAAGTTAGAGATGCTGTGTGTCAACCCTCTTCTTACAGGGTCACTTTGTTCTTGGGACTGCTCAGCACTGTACAACTACAAACCACTATGGGAAATGGGGGTTAGACAGGAGAGGTGAAGGGAGCCATGGAGTTCTAAGCTAGTCATTTCCAGTGCTTTGGGATCATGTGGGATGTTGGTGAAATACAGATTTCTGTTTCTAACCCCACATTGGTACAGTAGGACTCCAACTTGGTAACTGTCACTGTCCCAAGTTTCCCTGTGGTTCTGGTACACATCAGAATTTGAGAAACTTTTCAGGGCTCACTCAGATGCTTGGCACCACAGGGCTCTTTGGAAGCCACTTGTAATTGTCCACTGGCAGGTCTTGTTAGGAAGGAGTGGAGGAAGATGATTTGTACAGTAAGTGATGACATTGGCCTTTCTTGGGGCAGGCAGCCTGCTTTGCCATGACTTCTGCATGAATTTTATTTTGTGGACAATCTACCTCATTTGAGAGAGATGAAGATCGCCTGGTCACTTTTCCAGCCTCTGCTCCAAACCTTAGGCCTGCTTTGTGCATGTCTGCAATACTGCCCTGACCTGGGAGGTTAATGAAACCCTGGCGAAAAGGCTCTGCAGCTTGTGACCAGGGACTCCCAGGCAGTGAGAACTCACTGAGCACCCTGAGATGCTGCTGAGGGCCATTTCAATTATGCATGCCTCTGCTTTGAAGGCTGCCCTCACCTGCACTAGGGCCAGGTCCTCTGTCAACTGAGGCAGGCCTCCATGCTGGAATGGCCCCTGGCTCCACCTCCCATCCCGTCAGAAAAAGCACCCAAGTCACACTTGCCCTTTCCCTCCCTATAGCCTGCCAGCTTTAGACTCATTGCTTACCAGAGACAAGGGACTTTATTCATTTCACAGATTGGACTATTTGATACAAACTTGAAGCCGATTTTGAAAGTGAAATTCTTGCCCATCCTCCCTCTTACTCCAGCTAGTGGCTGATTTCTCCAGCAGAAGGCCACAGTTGACATGTCTTCCCAGCACATGTTCTCAGGAGTCACCCTTGACCGTGAAAACCCAGTGTTAGTAATTTGTGTTCCTTTTATGGGAGTTGTGAAAAATGACCCTCACTAGGAGGATCATGGCTGGCTGAAAAGACACTGTGCTTAAAGCATAAGCAGCACTGCCAACAAAAGGCTAAAGCCGATACCCTCCCCAGAGTTGAAGTACAATATTCAGTTTAGGGCTCAACAGGTTGTCAAAAGCTGAGAAGCTGAGAGCATAAGTTACGGGATTTCTGGGATCACTGATCTAGTGGCTGCAGGACTGTTGTTTGCGTTTCTCTCCAGCAGAGGGCGGCACAGTGATGCTGGAGAAGTCTGGTGAGGGCAGCAAGAGCAGGGTGGGAACAAGGTACAGGCCACAGATGGGGGCCCTTCAGATTCAAGTCTCAGACTCATCTGTCTCTTCAGTGGAGCCATCGCTCTCTGCATCCAATTTGCGGGAGCGATGGAGGGGTTTCCATGGGGAACCAACCCGGGGAGGGGTTCGAGAAGGCAGGCAGCTGGCCTCAGAAGTGGCAGTGATGGAGTTGACCAGGCCTGGGACCTGGACCAACCTGAAGAAGGAAAGAAGCCCAGAGGGTGTTGTGATGAGTCTCCCATTCAGAGACCAGGACCTCCACATTTTAACTGCCGCACTTGACCAGACCCCCAAAAACTTGTCCCTGACCAGGATGGGATGTTAAAAAGTGCTGTCCCTGCAGTGGGGCACAGTCACCTCTAACGGATTTGGCTTCCACAAGAGGGCAGCATCTTCCCAGTTGACACTTACAGCCGTTCCAGCTCCTCATCCATGGCTGGGTCATGCATCAAGTCTCCTTTGTCAGGTAAAGCTCCTAGAAAAAGGGGATTTGGGGTGAAGTCATAAAACAACGGAAGGGCCCTCTAAGGAAGCAGAATTCTGTCCCTTGCCTTCATGTCTGATAACTCGTTGACCAGGAAAGTTAGTCCATGTGGAACAGGAAGTCTTAGGTGCCGCTCTGTAAATGTAGTGAGTCTCCTTTCCTTTCCTTACTTGGGGCAAGAGTGACAGTTCAGGGCTGGAGAGGTGGCTCAGTGGCTAAGAGCACCAGCTGCTATTCCAGAGGTCCCGAGTTCAATGCTCAGCAACCAATGGTGGCTCACAGCCATCTCTAGTGGAGTCTGATGCTCATTTCTGTCATAAAGTACATGCAGATAGAGGACTCATATACATAAGTAAATCTTTGCCAGGCGGTAGTGGCGCATGCCTTTCTTTAATCCCAGAGGCAAATCCCCAGAGGTGGGGAGGCAAATCTCTGTGAGTTCAAGGTCAGCCTGGTCAGTTCCAGGACAGAAATGACTTTCACAGAAAAACTATCTTGATAAACAAATAATAATAAAAAAGTGGCAGCTAAGGAGATACCCTCAGACAGTCTCCTTCCAACACTGGATGTGCTGTGTGACTAGCACTGAGTGCTTAGTCCTTGAGGCCCCTGGTGCTGAGCTGGAAAGATTATGACCTAAGCTAAATCCAAAGGGTAGAAAAAAGCCAGTGTATGGAATTGTCCTTCTCTTGATCCCACCCGAATATGTGGGATATGTGCTTCTAGTGGGAAATTGTTGCTTCTAATGAAATGAGTCCTACCTGAGGTCTGGTACTAACATCTGTCTGGATTGGTTTCCTTAGCCATAAAGGAATGGGCTGGTGATGCTGTTGGGAAGTGGATGGAGTGTCTTGGGTGTTTCTCCACTAAGTTTTCTTTTTTTTTGCTCTTTTTCAGAATAAGTAGATTTTTTTTTTCTAGCTGGGAAAAATAGCTGCACCCACCTCCATAGCAGGAAGGTGGGACTGAAATGTGCAGAGAGGAAATCTCACCAACAAGCTGCTGGAGGAGCAGGGCTTAGCAGTAGTTGAGTCGGGCCAGACAGCGGTGTTGGGCTTCTGGGAGACTCGGAAGGATCCAGCTCTGGGCCCATTTCTGACTCCTTCAGGTTATGCTTCATGTTATTTTGTGAGGTGTTTTGGGGATAAGGGGATCTCTTCTACAAACTGTTTCAAGCAGGGTATTTCCAAGTTCCTATTATTAACACACATTGTCTTCTATTGCTGCCTATTCTATATATTTAGTCATGAATTAGTACTTAGAAATGGTGTGAGGTTCTTTTTATCCCTCAGAACTGGAGATTGAACTGAAGGTTTTTATTTAGTTTGTTTTTTTGACAGGGTTTCTCTGTGTCCTGTGTCCTGGCTGTCCTGAAACTCACTCTGTAACCCAGGCTGAACTCACTGAGATCCACTTGCATCTCTGCCTCCCAAGTGCTAGGATTAAAGATGTGCGCCACCACCGCCCAACTTTTTTTTTTTTTTTTTTATTTTAAGACAGAGTTTCTCTCTATAGCCTTGGCTGTCCTGAAACTCACTCTATAGACCTGGCTGGCCTTGAATTTATAGCGATCTGCCTGCGTCTGTCTCACTGGTGCTGTGATTAAGATGTGCGCCACCACCACCCAGCTTTGAAGGTTCTTTTTGAAGAGCAGAGAGGGTATGGGATGAGTGCAGGCTGTGATCATTGTTAACTAGCCTTTTCTTTTCCTTCTAGCAGCTGTCACTGGTAGAAAAGACTGTGAGGGAACACCTAGGGAGTCGCCACTGGCTCTTGAATCTGGTTTCCAATTGGCCTCTCTTCTAGCTGCAGTCCAGCTAACTAGGTGACCCTAGTTAGGAATCTCACTTAGTTGAGCAGCCACCCCCACTCCCACCCCCCGCCTCAGTAACTAGACTTCTAAGTAGCATGTATGCTTAGCTTGCCTGTCTCCTCTAGAACTCTGGCAAGTGTGTCTATACAGAAATAAGCATAAAGTCTCCAGCATAGCTTGTGGCCCATTGTGTTGGGTGTTCAGCAAATGTTAATTGTTCTTCTCTTGATCCCATCCCCTCAACTGTCACAAAGAGGAGGAATGCCTTGTGTCTCTCTGAGACTCAGGAACCTGGATCTAATCACACAAGGAGATTGTTCTGAGCAAAGACAGAATCAAATCCTTTAAAATCCAGCAGGATCTGGGCTTCATGGCGCATACCTGTAGTCCTAGCACTTGGGAAGCAGAGGTAGGCGGTTCAAGGTCAGCCTGGTCTACTTAGTATAGGCCAGGCTACACAGAGCTGTACAGTAAGACCCTGTTTCAAAATAACAAAAACCAACAAACCTCCAGCAAGAGTGACTTGCTGGTCCCTCCCTGGAAGAGAACTGGCTGTGCACGGCGGGCGGTCAGCGAGAGAGCAAGAGTAAAAACCACAGGCAGGGAAACTGGGCTGGCCTCCACTTTTTTTTTTTTTCCTTTGTCTTTCTCAGATTTACCAGATTTCTTTTTTCCCACCTGGGAAAAAAACACCTCCCAGACACAGCTTTGCCCTGTTTCTAAACTGAATTCAGGTCACTTTGATATATAATCTCCAGAGCCACCAGGTAAATAGCCCTGAATCTGCCCAACCTACAGGCCACTCCCTAGAGCAGAACCAGGGATTCTCTAGGGAGGGGCTGGGCGACCTATGCCAGGGAGCAGAACAGCAGCTCATTCATGTTGGGGCAGGGCAGAAGGCTGTCAGTCACATGGAATGTGAGGGACCTCCTAGGGCTGGCAGTTTGGGATTATGCACACTGCAGCTTCTAGGCCTGAGAATCAGAGGCAGTGTCCTACCCTTGCAGGGCCACGTCTGCCACGGTGACCAGCTGCTACTGTGTTGGGAGGAACACAGAGGTCACATGAGCTCTGCTTACCCAGCGTCTGGTTGATTCCATGATGCTTTGAGAGGGCCACAAGGAAGCCATAGAAAGTCAACCTCTGGACATTGCTCAGGATCTCTTTGACAAGCGCTGGGGGTGGGCAGCTGGAAGGGAAAGTACAGAAGCCAGGTTCAAGTCTAAGGGCCATTTTTCATCCACACCTCCAGGACACTCAAGGCTGGGAGGAGCATGGCCCAGACTACAGACAGGGCTGGTGTGCTTAGTGCTATTTAGTTGGTGGGGTTAGAGACGGAGCATGCTAGGTCTGTGTCTGCCATGCCCAGCCTCATAGCCAACGCTTTTACAGGGGACCTGGAAGAGAGGGAAGATGATGTGGCCACTGGTGACAGCTCCTTGCCTGAAGGCTTTATCTCTAAGGGGCCTTTGCACTTTCCTTTCTGTAGGAAGGTTTGGAACAGTGAATTTGTTCTTTTCAAAAAGTCAAGGCTTATCTTCCCTAGTAAGCAAGTCAGCTTACAGCTGTTTCTCCTGGGTGAAAATGCTTCTTTGTAAGCGAGCCACCTGCTTTGGGAACAAATGGCCCTATCTTTAAATCACAACCATCGTGGACCCTGGAAACCCTGAACCAATCAAAATATGTTTCTAGAGACTTGTTTCCAGACCAGTGGCCTGATCCCCAGGGCTGAAGCGGGGCCTCTGTCCATGTCCCACCTGTACTTGTGCCGGTCACACAGGTTCTCCAGGCGCTGATAGAACAGTGACGCCTCCACTCCATCCAGCACACCAGCATCACCCAAGGCAGGCCGTTGACGATGCTGCCCACTGGATGATGTTGGCACAATCACTGTATTGGGGTTCTTCCCTGACAGCAAGTCCTGATAGATGGCAGCCACACTGTCCAGAAATTCTGGTACCATAGGGGTAGGAAGGGACAGTTTAGGCAAGGAGATCATATTTCATTTCTTCACCATGTTCCACCTTCTCTGATAGCTCAGTTCTGTCCAGCTTCGGTGCAGATGGCAAAAGAGCTGGAGTGAGTGACTGCTGCCCTCACGAGACATGGCACTCCTGTGTGCTTCACCTGGGCAGTTCCTAGACTAGTTGGGGCCCTCACTGTATACTTGCAGAGCACCCTGTCTTTTTTTAATCATTTACCCAGTGACAAGTTTGCTATGTAATTATTTGTTTATCTGTCTCCTTGCTGGAATGTAAGCACCTTGAACAATGACAGGGGCCATGCCCTCCCAGTGACTAATACTGTGCTGGTTTATTTTAAATGCTAGAAGTGAACACATGTACAGTCTCATTGGTGAGCCCCGTTTCACGAGGTCATCTACTTCATGAAAGCATGTTGGAAGTATTTTTTTTGTTATTGCCTGGACAAGGCCGCTTTTAGTGTACAGAAGGGAGGAGCCTAAAACTGCTAATTTAGTAATCGTCTGACATTGTTTTCCAAGCTTTGCAGTCACACCATTGTTAGTAAACAATGACTTATGGCCTGTTCTCTCTCTCCCTTTCTCCCCCACCCCCACCTCCTCTCTTTCCTCTGTGTGAGCCTGTTAGAGGAAAGGAATTCTACCAAACATGGCTGCTCTTCCCTAAGGTTGGAGAGCTTCAGAGAAGTGAGGCGTGCCTGCTGCGGCAGCTGGGGGCAGGCGGCCTGACCCCGGGTCCAGCTCCTGCCTGAACAGCCCTTGGGCTGCAATCAAGTAAACAGAACGTGCACCTAAGTGAGGCCAAAGGTCAGGCCTCAAGCACAGGTCTGAGATCTAACCGCGCAGGCTTATCTCTTAGGACTTGTGAGCAGATTAAAGTCCTTAGTGCTGCACCTGGGAGGCAGTAAGTTTTTAATAAGTGAATGCTATTGATATCCTTACTCTTATCACTTAGACGGATTTGTGTATATGTGTGTGTGTCTGGAAGAAGTGTTTTGTCAGTATCTTCAGGAGGCTGAGAAAGTAGGCTTGGCACACAGTATTGTGACCACCAGTGTAAAGCCAGACATCTCGTTAGTGGGTTGTACCCCTAAAGAAGTGGGGAAGGGAAATATGTGTGCCAGACACATATGGAAAAGATAACAGGGTGAGAAACAGAGACATGGTCCCTGACAAAAGACACATGGGGCCTGGAACATTCTCACCTGAATAGTAAAACTGGATCTGGAAAGCAAAAAGGAAATCTGAAAAAGACATCAAGCAGTCCATTGCATCGTCCATGAGCACGATCCTGAGGGGAGAGAGGGAGAGAGTCTGAGAAACAAGAGCATGTTACATGTATGTTACATGTCATTTACCCCTTGAGGGGGTAAAGAACCAAACTGACAGAGACAAAGATTAAGCACAAACAGGTTATTTCCAGGCCTCTGGTCTCCCTTGGAGCTGCAGCACATTTGGGAAAAGGGCCCCAAAAGCAAGCTCCTCGTCCAGTCGCCTCGCTTCCCCATCAGCTGCACTGAGCACATCGCTCCAAGGGCAGCTCCCAGGTCAGTCTCAGTGGCACCAATCAATGGAGCACGGGCAGAGTGGGGTGGAGGCAGCAAAGAGAGGGTGCAATTGTAGTGCAGCCAAGATTTCTTTTCATATTCTTAAGCAGTAAATCCTCATTCTGCAGTGAGGGCCATTTAGTTCAGAATAAATACTGCTGATCAGAGGAGGCAAAAAGGAACAGCCAAGAGGTTTAAAGGGGTCTTGGCAAGTGGTGCTGAGATTTAATAAGCTACCAAATGGCCAGAACAGCAATAGGCACCTCTGCTCTGGGACATGGAAGGTAGATTGGAGGCAGGGAGTGGGCAATTCTGCACTCAGGAAGGTCAGAGAACACATATCTGCTAATGGTGCTGCTAACGATGGCCACTGCAGGTGCCTGTCTCTGCTCTTCCTGCTGGTCACCCTCAGGGAGAAACCATTCGATTGGCCATGTCCATACTCTGCTCAGGGATGAGGGGAACAGGAAGAGAAGGGAGCTAGCACTTGCTGGGCTGTAGCCGTGTGCCAGGCAAAGCGCCAAAATCCTCCACTAGAGTGGAGCTGGACCTCCAATCTGTTTCTGACAGTGCCCTTCTGGCTTGAGCTTTCTTTTTTCTATTTTAAATCGTTTTAGTTTTGCTTTGGGGTATTTCTCTAAATCTCTACTTCCTTGACTCAGAGGGTCTCCACACTGGCAAGTGGGTCAGCTTGAGAGCAGTATTGTTTGCTGCAGAGAGGACTTTGTGGAGAATACTGTTTATAGTGCCCTTGCCTTAGGACTGCAGAGCAGAGCTCGGGGTTAGGGTTGTCCTCCTCAAGACAGAAAGGGTTCCTAGGTAGCTGTAGTAACAATAGTAGAGACAGGATGCTTTACTGAGCACTCTGCTCCACAGTGGGCACTACACATCATATTTAACTACCTTCATTAAATTTCATCCCATAACACCATAAGACATTGGGGTTTGTTACTTCCTTTTGTACCTGAGGGTCTGATCCCAGAGGAGTAAGTTCACTAAAGTGCTACATAATGTGTGAGTTTGTGTGACACCAAAGGCTGAGTGTTTTCATTAGGTCACGCTGCTTCTTTTAAAAGAAGGAAGAAGCCAGTTGCATGCCTTATATCCCAGCACTGGAGAAGCAGAGTCAAGTAGAGCTCTGTGAGTTCAAGGCCAGCACCAGCCTGGTCTACATAGAGAGTTCCAAGACAGCCAGAGCTACTTCGAGACCCTATCTAAAAATAGCAAGAAGATACAGTAGAAACACTAGCGTTAGTTTATACATTAGCTTCTGGGCTCCTTTATGTTCTTTATTATGTGTATCTTAGAGCTTTAACTGTTTCTCTGGGGAAGAAGGAAAGCTGCCTCCACTACCAGCTGGGAAAAACTGAGGCCAGAATACGAAGCAGCAGTGCTTCAAGGACCACAGGAGGGCGCTTAGGGCCCTCATCAGACATCTGGATGGTGTAATGATCTGTCCTGTCTCTTTGAGAGACAAGCCATGCCCCCCACACACACAACACCCCCCAGGCAAGCTGATCTTCAGCTTGAGTTCCTTCCTTTTCCATTTCCCTCTCAAAGAGGCAGCTTCTCCCTCTCCCCCCTTTTCCCCTTCCCCCTTCTCTCTCTCTCTCTCTCTCTCTCTCTCTCTCTCTCTCTTTCCCTCCCCCTCCCTCCCTCCCTCTCTCTCTCCCTCTCTCTCTCCTCTTCTCCCCTTCTCCCTTTCCCCTCCATAACCCACTAAATAAATATCCAACCTTGCTCTGCATGGCGTGCCTATCCATCTGTCTCTCTCCTTGTGGCCTGCTGCAGCCACTCGGGTAACTGTGCCGTCCCTGTCTGGGACTGGCTGCTCTTGGGACTTGCTGTTCGCTGCCTCCTGCCATATGGCCCACTGCCATTGCTCAGGGACCTGCAGCGTTTCTGCCACTGCAGCCACCAGGGGTCCAGGGATCCTGCAGCATTTTTAATTAATCCATTACAGATGGGAGCGAGAAGACATAAAGTCTGGGGTTAGTGAAGATCCACTGCAGAGGCAGAAGGCACTGGCTCCACCAGGAATACCCAGGGAGGAAGGGCCAGCTCAGAAGGGGACATGGCAGAGCCCTGTCTCTGCTGTTCTCTCTACTCCTGGATGGCCAAGCACTCTAGCAGCCAAAAGCAAATGACTTCAGGAGAGAACTGGGCTGAGTCTTGCCCCAGGAAACCCTTGGGTGATGCCTTGAAGCTTTCAAAGACGACAAATGCCTCTACCTTTAACCTGAATCCTAGGGCTCATGTTGATAGTCATAGTTGATGTATATCTTTATTAGTCATTATATTGTGATGTAATTAAAATACCGTAAAATCAACCCATGACAAATGTGTAAGTCAGTGTTTTCGTATACTGAAAACATTGTGCAATCATCTTCAAAATTGCTCGTTCTAGAGGCTACCTCTGCATTCTCCCCATTAGCATGCTCCTGAGGCAGACTCTGCTTCCCGGAGGCTCCAAGCAGATGCTGAGCACCTCTCTGGAATGTTAGCAAAATGCTCTCCCTAACCCAGACTTGTCCCTACCTCAGAACTGGCTCCTGCTTTTCTGTCATAGGTTTTGCTTGTTTGTTTTATTTCGGTTTTTCAAGACAGGATTTCTCTGTGTAACAGTCTTGGCTATCCTGGAACTCACTCTGTAGCCCAGACTGGCCTCAAACTCACAGAGATCCACCTGCCTCTGCCTCCCGAGTGCTGGGATTAAGGGGGTGTGTCATCACACCCGGTGACTTTATTTTTTAAGATTTAGTTTAGTTTTGGTTATGTGTGTCTGTGTGTAGCTGTGCATGTGTGAGTACAGGTGCCTGTGCTAATATTAGTTATGTGTGTCTGTGTGTAGCTGTGCATGTGTGAGCACAGGTACCTGTGCTAATATTAGTGTTTTGGTAGTTGTGAACCCTGGGTGCTGAGAACCAAAGCCGGGTCTTCTAGAAAAACCGCGAATACTCTTAACCACTGAGCCGTCACTCTAGCCTGAGAGGCTATTCTTGATTAGATCATTAGCCTCCTTTTATTGCTTTTATTGTGTTTAGTCTCAGGTTTTATTTAAGTACAAAAAAATGCAAAGCATTAACCCCACACCCTCCCTGCTGTACAGCTAGCTGATGGGACTATTGGTCTGACAGCCAACGATTCATATATATATATATATATACATACATGTACATGGATACATATATATATACATATATAAATATAAATGTATTATTATCTATTTCACATCCTGGCCACAGTTTCCCCTCCCTCTTCTCCTACCAGTTCTTATCTACTTCAGGAATTTGTTGCTCTTTTCAGGATGGCTTTGCTATTCTAAGAGGAAACACTTGAACAGTTTTAGCATAGGAGAATTTGTGGCCAAAGAGCAGCACTTTCGACTGTGGATCAAGAATGTGTTCCTGTTGTCTGGTCAGGAGCAAAGTCCCTGGGAGTATGAGCTTATCTGTTGCTCACAGAAACAGTGCTAAGCAGGAAAATTTGGCCCTTGACACCAAAAGATCACATAATCCAATAAAAAATATGGAGTACACAACTCTCAACAGAGGAATCTAAAATGACTGAAAGATACTTAAGGAAATGTTCAACATCCTTAGTCATCAGAGAAATGCAAATAAAAACAACCCTGAGATTCTATCTTACACCTGTAAGAATGGCCAATATCAAACACACTGATGACAACTTATGCTGGAGAGGTTGTGGGGAAAAGGGAACACTTCTGCATTGCTGATGGGAATGCAAGCTGGCACAGCCCCTTTGGATGTCAGTGTGGCGATCTCTCAGAAAATTAGGAAACAACCTTCCTCAAGACCCAAAAATACCACTTTTGGGTATATATCCAAAGGATGCTCAATTGTGCCACAAGGATATGTGCTCAACTATGTTCATAGCAGCTTTGTTTGTCATAGCTGGAAACAACCTAAATGCCCCTCGATGGAAGAATGGATTAAAAAAAATGTGGTACATTTACACAATGGAGTACTACACAGCAGAAAAAAATAATGACATCTTGAATTTTGCAGGAAAATGGATGAACTAGAAAACATTATTTTGAGTGAGGTAACCCAGACACAGAAAGACAATTATCACATGTACTCACTCATAGGTGGGTTTTAAACATAAAGCAAAGAAAGCCAGCCTACAAACCACAACCCCAGAGAACTTAGACAACAATGAGGACACTAAGAGAGAATTACATAGATATAATCTACATGGGAAGTAGAAAGTATAAAAAGACAAGATCTCCCGAGTAAATTGGGAGCATGGGGACCTTGGGGGAGGGTTAAAGGGAGGAGGGGAGAGGCAGGGAGGGGAACAGAGAAAAATGTAGAGCTCAATAAATATCATGAAAAAAAAGAAAGAAAATCTGACCATTGAATCTTTTCTGCAGTCTGTTGTCAGTACCTCTGGGATTCCAAGAACCGGACTTATATTTGAATTACTGATCATGCTTGTACCAGAAACACCTGTTTTCCTCCCCCCCCCCAAACAGGTGTTTCTCTGTGTAGTCCCAGCTATCTAGCTGTCCTGGAATTCACTGTGGAGACCAGGGTAGCCTTGAGCTCCTAAAGCCTGGGATTAAAGGTGTGAGCCAACAGGAGTCTGTACAAATCTACTGGATCCTGCAGGGATCCTTGCAGGCAGTACCTCTGAGCTAGAGAGAAGGCTTCTGGGGAGAAATGCAGGCCTCTGGTTCAAGCTGGCTCTGAGCAAGAACCATGTGGAGGGTGGAGTCCAG